AATAATTTTTGCATCTTAATGTTCTAAACACGTAATTCTTACCAATTTAAGAATCCTTTGTGCTCAATCAACAGAAAGGGTGACTTGCTTTTGTTTGATTATAATGTGAGCATGATTTCTTTTAAACAGTTAACTGTGGATGATTGTGTTCGTATATGTTGATTGTTTTCATGGTGGAAAATGAACCCAATGGAATCGCCAAAAAATCTTCACGTACACTAATATATTGGAGAATATTTTGTGAATGAGAAGAAACCACACACTAATATATTTTCGGTTTTTCTCATCTTAACTCTGTTCATTCTGCATTTTCTATTTTCTATTGGTGGCAGGTACCAAGACAAAAAAATGAATACGACTGTGGTCTCTTTGTTCTCTATTTTATGGAACGTTTCATTAAAGACGCTCCTCAAAGGCTTAAGAGGAAAGACCTGTCTATGGTACTTATTCTGCTATGCCCAATGTTTGCATTGTTTTTCTTATTCTTATTTTTTAGTTTCTGAGTTCCCTAAAATATATTCAATCTCAGTTTGGCAAGCAATGGTTCAGACCTGAGAATGCCTCTGATTTGAGGGGAAAAATTCGGACTATACTCAAAATAGAGTTCAGGAATGCAAGTGAAGTAAGAGTTGACGAGTGCAAGTGAGGTCAAATGTGCTTTGGATCTTTAGCCTCTCCAATCGAAAGGTTGTGGTAAATTGGTTTTGACTACTATATGAAGACTGGAGCTGATGACCCTTATGTAAAGCCTCAAAGTTGTCACTCGGATATTTTGTTCATCTGCACAATTTTGATTTGCAGAATCAATGGTGCATTTGCTGTGTCAGGAGATTTGAAAGTGATCGTATATATGTAGAAGACAAATTTTTGCAGATACTCAACATGAAATCTGGCAGAAATTTGAAGAACATGGGAAAATAGATACATTTCTGCGAGGTAAGTACATAGTAGAGATCAGCTAACTAGCTTTGCCATGTGTATCCGGAGCATTTTAGGTTAAACTTCAACAGGTGCATGTTTGGTAGACTGAATTGGACAAAACTGGATAGGATCCTATCCAGAAATAAAACTTTGTTGAATTCACTTGTTTTGTCCAACACTCTGTAATATTTTGCACCACACACACTAGCTTTAGAGGAGGGGGTACAAAGTGAAAGCACCACACCCCCACCATTTTGAATTGTTCCTGTGATGGAAGTCTTCTAGTTTTCTATTTAAATGAAAATCAACTGTGAATAATTTATCAAACAGGATAAATAGTTTTGGACAGACTTCTTGGAATATACTCAGAACTATGATATCTTGGCAAATTGTAAGCAGCGAGTGCCTAGTCTGATCATCTGTAATGTTGAATTTCACAGTGGTCTCATAATCTCGATAAAGTCGTATACTTAAAAGAACTTTATGTGAAAGGATAAACTATCCTCGTGAATAAAATATTGATCAATGGCATTCATACGGCATATTAGAAGGTTTCTAGAAATTATAATTTTCGAGTTGCTGGTGAAATTGGCCGGTTCTAATCGAAAATTTAGAAGGAACTTCAAAAATTCAAAGCTCGTAACGGGAGATGTGTATCTGTTAAGAAAGAATATTAACATTCCTTAGCACAATTACATATCGCATCATCTATTACTCGCAAAGTTTCTAGCAACCCTGCAATTTATAGCAGTAGCATTTTTTAACTTAGATCATAATGAAGGCATCATCATGGATTTTTGAGCAAAATTTAGTACTGTTGGAAAAAAAATATAAATTAATAAGCTTCAAAGCAATCATGCATACCTCTGAAACTGAAAATTGCAGCCAAGTCCACAAGAGTTAAAAGAAAACTATATTTGAATTCTCTCATTTTGTCCAATACTGTGTAGTATTTTGCATCAAACATACACTAGCTATATAGCATGGTACAAAGTGAAAGAACCAGGACATTCTAACAACGTTGACACTTCTGTAGCACGCTCATCATCTTCCCCGACCCAACTTATCAGTAAAAATATTACTTATGCTATTTGAATGTTACAAAATGTGTTCTAACAGTGCTACATATTACGTACATGTATAATGAAAATCATTACAACTTTGATTTTTCTACTTTTTCGTTCTAAGTTTGCTATGATATCGTCTTTGTCGCCTGAGTAAGCAAAAGCAACTCTGAAGTTGATCGTCGTCTTGTACTGCCTCCTTTACAAACGCCAATAGCCTCCAGCATTTGTATTACCTCTTCCATCTCAGGTATTTTCTTGGGATCAGTATCTCAACATTTTTTTCATCACATCATCTATAGAATTAGGGCAGCACTTTGGTATATACGGCCTTGAGCTCTGAGAGCAAAACTTACAGTTAGCTAAAATATTTTACAAAATATTGCTATAAAGGCCAACTGATAATGTGAACAACATGCCTTGTAAACTACAAATGAGGTTTCTTCAATTGATGCAAGGTTGGGGTATGGCATAGAACAGCAATAAATTTCCCACAGGAAGATCCCAAACCTGTATACATCGCATTTGTGATCGTATGCATTGCCAATTAAGACCTTGAAATGAGAAATACAAATATGCTTTTAAGCTTAGCCAAATGGTTTAAACTACTTGTATTAATAAAATAATAGATTCGATAATAAGATATAAACCTCTGGTTGCATATAACCAAGTGTGCCAGTTCTTCTGGTTATCTCGGCAAGATTTGTAGCTTCGACTCTTGAGACACCAAAATCAGTTATTTCGACTCTTCCATCTTTATCAAGGAGCATATTTTCAGTCTTGACGTCTCTATGAACTAATTTCAAATAACGCATGTAACTTAACCTATAAAAGAAAAATTTTTAAAATAAAAATTAGCAACTTTTTTTATCACTTGGATCTATAGATAAGTGAGAACCTCTTTACGAATTATTCTTATCATAATTGTGTACAAGATGATTACAAATATACCCTCTAGCAATGTCGAGTGCTAGTTGAATGACTACTTTAAGAGGTAGCTTCTTTTTTCTGTTTCTTATGAGGTAAGAATTCAGAATACCCTCTATAAGATACTGTACTACTATGGAACAAATGTTTTGTGGCTTGTTGATATTGTTGCAATTTGATATCATGTTAACTTTTGCAATGCTTTGCTCCGATCAACGGGAGATAAAAGAGATATTTATAAATTACAGAATGCTTTAATTGAAATACATATAAGTTTAAAGAATATATAAAACGAAATGGAACCAAACCCCAAAAACAAATTTAACCACTTCTAAGTTCTAAGCAATGTTAAATCTCATTAAAAATCGAAGACAAACATTGTGTTAAATAAAAAAAGTCTCAATAACACATTTCGATTATGTTTTCTTGAAACGATCGCAAGAGAATAGTTTTCCATTTGTCAACGTGCAAGTACAGAAACATATTTTGGGGTTCTATTTTATTTTCTTAAATAATGAATGGATGTCATGGCGGAACAATTTCATCTATTGGTCACATTTACTTCTAATATCGAAATTCATAAAAATAAAGTAGTGTTCAATCGAATTCTTTAATAATATTCAATTTACCCCTCTCGAGTTCTCATTGAACCTATTTAAATAATTCAATTCCTTATCTCTATTCGAATCAAACTTAGTTAAACGAAATAATAGTTCTAAGAATTCATTTATGACCGCAGTAATTAATTTATGTATCTCTATACATTATATTAATTTACTGAATTTTAATATGTTGCCTAAACAAGAATCTGCATCTCTACGTAATTATTTTTTACGAAATCATTGAATAATTGGCCAGAAAATTTAAAGCATTGAAAACATAATTAAAATCCACACATAAAATATAAAAGAACAAAAATCTCAAATAAAAAAAAAATAAAGGTTCCAAACAGGTTACATTATTCGCTCTAAAATTAAATTTAGCTATGCATATTAATGAGATAAAAACAAGAAATTATAGAAGATATCACCAGAAATTGATGGAACATGATTAATTTCCAATTTTGCTCCAACCGTCCAATATTTGCTTCTGCGTGTATCTCCTTTTTTTTCTCGAGCCGCTTCAATTTCTATGTCGGTGTCTCTGCTCCGATTTCCGTATGTATATCTAAATAATAAATTTTAGCCCAGTGAAGAGAGCTCTCTTTGCGGAAGGAGTCCAAATGAGTTGTGGGAACCTGGGAATCAACAAGAGCACATCCTGCAATTTACCTCCCTGAGCTGCTGAGAGGCCGGAGGTTCAAGGACAAGGATCTAGTCGGACGCAAGCCCGGACACCTTGTTAAAAAAAATAAAAAAAAAATAAATTTTAGCAACCTGGTCTCAATATTTAGCCCAATTTCTACCCTCTACTGTGTGGAATCTAGATATATTAATGGCAACCTAATTTGATTCGCAAAAGAACTCCAAGCTGCTGCCCCTCAATTCTCGTCTCTCGATTTTCTGTGCATATACCAATTGGAGCCGCAATGTTTGACTCCTAAGTGGAGTCCAATTTTCTCCTCCCAGCCGGCTCTAAATTTCACTTTAAAAAGGACTTTAATTCATACATGCGTGTCTCAAGGGTCCAATCAGCCGAAGCCATTAATACTTAAATTATGCTTCAAGTCCTTCGTCTTTCAAGATAATGCAATTCAATCCTTGAATCATTTTATTCTTGCAACCCATGTCTTCTTTGATTCAATTCAAGTCATTCACTTTCCAAAATATGAAATTTGATTTTCAAAGTCTTCAATCTTCGATTCATGGTCCGGATCAACTATTGAATTGTTACAACTTGGTCCTAAACTTTTGCATTTCGCTATTTTTTCGGGTTTTTATCTCGTTTCTTCCACTTTCTTGTACCAATATTAACTTCTACCTACTAAATACCAATTGCAACAATTTAGACTTCTATCAAAGAAGCTCTAAATATAATCGTTTTAAGGTCTCGAATAATTGTATAAAACACACTTATCAAATACCCCAAATTTAAACATTTGTTTGTCATCAAACAAAACTATCATCTAACTAACTATGAACACACAAGCATGCAACGGATAATTAGTTTGGACAATCAAGCTGTTTACCTCATGATTCAAGATATTAGTGTTTACTCCATAAACATGCTTCAAAGTCACAATACTAAACCAATATCCACTCTTCCAGTGCAAAATCGATGAGTGTATGTGAAGAATCAAGTAATCAACCATAATTGCACAAGTTTTTTCAATTTCCAACCCTCTGTGGTCAAATATATTCTTCCATTTCTCGTTTGATTTTCACACCCTCAAACTTATTCTTTTTCACTCATTCCCAGTGTGTAATCTAAGGTTGAATATTTCATTACTATCCTCACCCTCTCGAATTCAAGTTGATGTTACTAGTTGCAAGTCAATACTTCAGTGAACAGAAATTCTCCAATTATTTGATTGCTTCGACCGTCACGACTCAACTAACTAATTATCTTGCATCGAGAGTCAAATTTCCTCAAATAAGTGTTAGGGTGTAAACAAGGTATTTAGTGCTCTTGCTCTTTGCTTTTTTGTTTTACACAAGTTTTTATTTTTATTTTTATTATTTATTTATTTTTTTGCATTCTCTCCATTAAGTTTTCTAGATGACCTCTGTAGCAAGCTTTAGGCTGATAACTTTCAAACCAGATGATTCTAGAGCACCAGATTTTAAACACTCTACGGGTTTATTGACCCGAGTAAAAAAGGCTTTGAAGAGAAAAAAAAATTTCTAGTATAAATTCATCTCTGATTACTTTCTAAATGACCCTTGTAATGAGCTTTAGGTCGATGACTCCCAAATCAGACGACTTTAGGACACCAGGTTTTAAGATACCTTTACAGATTTAGTTACTCGAGTCATAAAGGCTTTAAAGAGAAGTTTAAAATTTTCAAATGTATACGTCTTGATTCGTACAATGCCCCTTATTACACACTTAGTCAAATAAACCGACCTCGAACTTAAGACTTTCGTCAAATTTTATCATGTTAGACTAAGGCAATTCACACATAAATTTTCACATATGAAATCTACATTCACATTCATATCTTCCTACAATAGTAAAGTCAACCCCAAAATGTGCTAAATTTGGTCTAAGGATAAATAACTTATTATGGTTTAGGTAAAACATCTATATTTAACTAAATCAATCTATCAAGAGCATGTAACTCATTTCTTCATAATGGCAAACTCAATTCTAGTGGAAGTATAATATCAAATTTTGCAAGGTTAAACTTTAATCAGTCTAGCATGCATCCTCTCCACAGTTCATAAATTAACACTAAGTCTTAAATTAAATTATCATAGTCAACCAAACTG